AAATCGGTTATACTGTATATAAAGAGTCAATTTTTGTGTACCGCATTTATCTTTGGTGCATGGTAAAAGTGTTATTTAGTCCGAACATGAGTATTTGAATGTGGACTTAACGACGGTTTCCGCCCCTCGTCATTCTTTAAATGTAAAAAATGATTATAATAAAATATGCAATGGATATTATTTAATTTATGTAATATATTTTTTGTACGGTATATTTATATGGTAATTTTTCTTTAAAAAGTATTTTAGATTCTCATATTAATTTATAGTGTATTTATCACCATAATTGGCTTCTTTTTTAATGCTACTTACAGTATTATAAACCAAAATTTTTTTAAATTTTTGTTATAATTGAAATACTGTATATAAAAAATGAATCTTTGTTTTTTTATTTTTCATAAATTTTAAATCAAATAGCTTCAATTTTTCACGAATTGTTTATGCCCGTTTTGTTATGACAATATCAAAAGATCCTTGATTGTTTAAATTTATTAATAATTTAATATGGTGGATTGAACTATCGTTCTAGCATTCTAATTTCGAAACCGAGAGCCAAAGGAAAAATGCTCCAGAATTTGTGAACTTTCCGTTCCCACCTGTTGTAATTTCGAACCTTCCGGCACATCGTTGAATTATAAATAAAATTTATCGATGTGCTGGTGAATCCATCGACTTATTTTAATTATATAACATATCGCATAAGCTAGTACTTGATAACCCTCACTCAGTAACAAGTTGTACCACAAAAACAATTTTAAAATGAGGTCTCATCGAGATTGGCAACTGGTATCAATCAATGTTCATTAGTAGTTTCATTCTGTTATAAACCGTGAAAGAAACAGCCACCATGGGTGTGACCTTCAGGTATCCAATGCTCAATCCTACAAAAAATCCTCTAAATCCACTGGTGTTCCAAATTGTCTTTGTTGTCTGCCAAATGCCAACAAACTTTGAAGGATCAAACGCTCCGTAAACTTGCATTCTACGTCGTATCACCTCGAACGGGTATGCTACGGTCTGTGAGACTGCGCCTGCTATACCGCCAACACTCAATTCAGCCCATGTCTTCAAAGGTGCCCTTCTTTCCTGTCCTCGGCTGTCCAATTTACCGGCAACCAATGAAGGCTTGGTAATAGTATCGGACCACATCTTTCTGCAGAATTCAGTAAGGATGTGATGTGTCCAGAACGATACACCAGCATAAGGAATCATACCCATAATAGTGGGAACCAATCCTCGATAGAAATTCATGATTGGAAAATGGAGAAAACGTCGATGCGATGCAGCACTCTCGTGATATACCTGCTGACATATCGACTTAAATCCAATACGAGTGCCTCCACGGACTTCATAGGCAAGCCTAACACGCACGAGTTCAAGCGGATAAGTAAATAGTACAGAGGTGACGCCTTGATGTAGCAATTAATTAGTAAATATAAAATAAAATTAAGAATTTGAAACAAGTGAAATACGAAATTGATTTACCAGCCAATGAACCAGCCAACAAAATTCTCAAGGACGTTTCATATTTCTTTGTTGGTATTAATAACTGTCGAAAATCTTTATGCGTTAGGATAGTAGAATGTGAAAAAAAATTATGGCATTCGAAACGCATAGTTGATTCTTACGTGACGAAATTGTTCATATGCAACAAATTTAATTGCTGCATATGGGAAGATTCTGATTAGAGTTGCCGAATGACCCTGAAATAGTCCTTTTGGGCCACTGTCCATATAGATCCTTCGGCTAGCTTGAAATACACCGGTCCAAGACCCTATAATATATTTAAGAGTTGAGATTTCCAAATGCTATAGTCTCTTAAGTGAAAATCGTCCTCTCGAATTTTCTACACACCAAAGTCGTTAGTATTTTATAACTCTGATTCTACCTGCATATTTTTGGAAATGTGGATTACTTGACTGGAACAAAATTTTAACCCTGTCAAGAGGTGCGATAACCGTTTTGGCCTAAGGTGTTTTTCGTTTCACGTTAGGAAGGTTTGACAAAAAAAAAAAAAAAGACTAACGCACTGAATGTGTCATTGTATACCACACAGCCGGCTATGCCACCCGCAATGAACGAACGTATTATATAATTCATACTTCGTTTATCATGGTAACGAATCCTCTTGACAGTGCTCTCTTGGTTAACAAGTGTTCGCTCTTGAGAATTAAAGGGAGTGGCCGTAGAAGTTTTTGTAGTGGTCGTAGAGGACATTTCGCAAAGGGGTTGAAATGTGGATAACGGTCGCTTTTTTGATGAAGATTAAATTTTTCGTGTACTAGGTCACCTCACCTGTGTGACTGGAACCTCCGGGTAATTGGTTCGGTTACACTTGATTTCATCAACCTTGATGTCTTTCAGCCAATCGGATCACTGATAAGATCATCAACAATTTATATAAATGATTTCTCTCTTTACGGATACCATGGTACTCATTTCTGCGCAATGGACCTTACGCACAAGAACCTGTTATCTACTTCACCATTACCTTCACCATCCGCCACTGAGCTTGAGGAGGATGATCCCTCGGTCAAACTTCAACCTTCTAAGTTAGAGGATTACTTTTTCCCTTCTCATAGGCTTAAAACTCGTCTCGAAGGTATCGCCGTGCTTTGTTAATTTAGATTCGTGTAAGAAATAATTTGCGTTTCCGCAATTTCAAACACGCGTACGATGGTTTCTTTTGGCGTGTCACCATTGCCCGTCTTAAAGGAATGACGTATAAAATGCAATGTTCAAAGAAAACAAATGTCACAAATATATGTGGTCATTGAATAATGACGAATTATGTCTTCAACCAAAATCTGTAGACGATACAAAAGAACCCGTAGTGATTGTCGCTTGCGGGTCTTTCTCGCCAATAACATACCTTCACTTGAGGATATTCGGTAATATGTTAAATATATCAATCTCTGTTTAGGGAGGGGGGGGGGGGAGATAAGAAAACTCATTTTGGTTCGAAATATTACAAGAAATGGCCAAAGATTACATACTGGAGAACACGAATTTTGAAATTATGGGTGGCTATTACTCCCCCGTGTCCGATCATTACATCAAAGAAGGACTTGCACCTTCATTTCACAGGGTTCGAATGTGTGAGCTCGCGGTAGAAAGAACGTCCCAATGGCTGATGGTTGACGCCTGGGAGAGTTTGCAAGGCGAATACACTAGAACCGCTTTAGTAATGGATCACTTTAACGAAGAGATAAACTTGAAGCGTGGAGGAATTATGATGGCAAATGGTAATTCTCAAGTTTTTCACTCGGCCATTTAATCGACAATATTTTACATATATACCCATATCTTTGTGCACATAATTTAAAAAAAAAATTTTTTCTTCATTTACTTGAATTGTTCCGAGGCCAGAGACGAAAGGTTAAGGTTATGCTTTTAGCCGGGGGTGATCTAGTCGAAACGTTTAAACCAAATCTTTGGCTTGACGATGACGTAAGAATTACCGAATAAGCGGACCAATCATTCATTAGCCAAACCATCGCGAGCTCTTGTTCTTACTTATCTTCTTTCATTTTAGCTTCACCGCATTTTGGGAGATTATGGGGTCCTTGTGGTAGAAAGAACCGGCGCCGACGTGTGGGGATTTCTGTTATCACATGATATACTTTATCAACACAGGGTATGACGCTTCGTCGTATTACGTTTTAATCATTCCGACTAATATCATTGTTTGTTTGACTTTACAGAAAAATGTTTATGTGATCAAGCAATTCATATACAATGATATCAGTTCAACGAAAGTTCGGTATGTCATCAAAGGTCATTTCATTATTTGACGGAGATGATGTCTGATCTTTTTTCTCCATTCATAGTTTATTCGTCAAACGCGGTATGTCTATAAAGTACTTACTTCCTAATTCGGTGATCAAGTATATTCATGAGAATGGACTTTACTTGTAATAGTTGCATCATATATAATGAATTTAGGTTTGGTTTGTTAATAGACTTGCTTTGAGGCATTCTATTTTACTTTTGTTCGATCTTTATGAAATTGATCGAGAAATCGTAATATATTGATGAATAGTAATCCAACTTGTAATATAATTATGTAGTTTATAACTAGGATAGATGACTGGGGTTATTCAACAACATTCTTGGGAAAGTATCACAAATTTCAATTTTTCCTGTAACTTATATTAAATAAACTTCAATGCTTTCTCCATTAAGTCCACTGCTTCCAAATCCATCATTAATATTTCATGGCCTATGATATTATAAACGTCGCCTGCCTCAAAAATTTCCTCGGCAGTCAGAGCATGTACCCTCTGCAAATTTCTCGAAGCGAGATCCAAATTCAACTGGTGATCCTTACTCATGAACAATATCGAATGACCTTGCACCCTCTCTTTCGCTAGAGGATCCCATGCGTTTTTGTTCAAAATTTCTAACAGGCCTTTTGTTTTGTGAATGTCCAAGATAAAATTCTCGACAAGGACCAATTGATTTTGTGCGTACTTGGTTGCGAGCGCGGTGCGTACGCCAAGAACTTGAATCTGGCGTGGAAGCTCTGTCGCATGAGAACGTGGCCTAGGACCATGAGCGACTCCACCTTTTGACCACATTCATTAATTTTCATGGAGTTAATATTCTACTACTACAAGCGTTAAGGGAAAGAGATATTAAAAAAGATCACCACCAACCTCCTCTCCAATGGGGTGCACGGTGGCTACCAACCCTTGCCTTTCCTCTACCCTTTTGTGGCGCCCATTTTTTGCTTGTTCCGCTTACTTCACTTCGAGTTTTGGTTTTATGTGTTCCCTGCCGTAAAGCATCACGTTGCCATACCACAACCCTTTGTAATATGTCGGTTCTTATGGGTGCGCCAAAAACTTGTCGATCCAGTTTCTTTATTCCTAACGGCTCGTTCGTCAAGAAATCGTGATAAAAAGCTTCGATCACTGTTGGCAAAGGGTTTACGGCTAAAAGTTTTATAAGATCAGATTAGGGCCGGAAGCGAAGAATAAATGCCACGGAAGGTCACTTGTACATATATTTTCTACCTTTGAGTCTTACGGGTATTTCGGCTGTAACATTATGGTAGTTAGAGAAGTCTGGTTTCTGGAAACTGAGACGTCTAACTAACCCAAACGTTGCAACTTGATTTTGATGAAGAGAGCTACAAATATTACCTTAGCAGTTGAGCAAGCAGAATCGTACAAGTGCCTACAGCCTCGTAACTGACGTAGAAATCCCTTTGACCACATAATTCTGTATGAAATAAAAGATTATGATAATCAATTTGCGTAATAGATATGATTTAACTATAAATATAAACCCGTTATCTCGGTGCCAAATCCTCATTAAGATGTCAACCCTTTCTGCAATTTTTTCCAATAATTCTTCTTCATCAGCCATTATTATCCCTGGTGGACCCACGCTTTCGTACCCCGAGTTATTTCATCAAGTTCAATTATTTCAACGGCAAATCACGGACTTGTATGAATTACGCGTTCAAGATGTCGTCGCCATAGTATTACCGAATTCCCTGGAGTTCACAGTTTCTTTTCTAGCCGTTACCCTGCTACGCAATGTTGCTGCGCCTTTGAATCCAAATTATACCGAGAACGAATTCAAGTTTTACTTTGAAGATTCAAAGAGTAAAGCAGTAATTGTGCCAAAAGGTTGGTCTCAACAGAACAAAGCAGCGGTTAAGGCGGCAAATGCTTTTGGAGTTTCTGTCACAGAAGCGGCGTGGGATAATTCACGTGGACAGATAGTCTTGAATGCTCCAAGTGGTAGTAACCACAGAGGAAAGTATAAAGAACAAGAACCAAATCCGGGCGATGTGGCTCTTCTGTTACATACTTCGGGAACCACCGGAAGGCCTAAAGGTTGATATGTATTTGTAAAATATTTTTCCATGATGTAAGTCATATAACAAATTATCGAACATTATGAACCATAAATGCAGGCGTCCCGCTCACGCACAAAAATATTATTACTACAATGCGGAATATAATCAAAACGTACCATTTAACTTCTGATGATCGTACACTTTTAGTAATGCCTTTATTTCATGTCCATGGATTAATTGGCGGGATGTTATCGACCTTGCTTTCCGGCGGGACAGTGGTGATCCCGGAGAGATTCTCTGCCAACAAATTTTGGAAGGATTTTTTAGAACACGGTTGCACATGGTACACCGCCGGTATGAAATAAGTAATTATGTCGCTAAAATTTTTTTCAATGAAATTAAACCGTTATTACTACTCTGCTTAGTTCCTACCATCCATCAAATCCTTTTACTCCATCCTCCTCCCCCCGGAGGTGCGCCGAAGCTTAGATTTATTCGTTCGTGTTCTTCTTCGCTTGCCCCGAACATCTTATTTGAACTCGAAAAAACTTTTAACACATGTGTACTTGAGGCTTATGCTATGACCGAAGCTGCTCATCAAATGACATCCAATGTGTTTTCAAAACGTAAGCCTGGTTCAGTAGGAATTGGTCAAGGTGTTCGTATCGCCATTCTGGATGATAAAGGTAAGCCTACTGAGGAAGGCGAGGTATGCATAAAAGGGGCAAATGTTACTCCAGGATACATTAATAACCCCTCGGCCAATAGCTCATCGTTCACAAAGGATGGCTGGTTTCGTACAGGAGATCAGGGCAAGTTAGATGACGAAGGATATTTGTTCCTGACGGGTCGAATCAAGGAACTTATAAATCGCGGAGGAGAAAAAATCTCTCCACTAGAAATTGACTCGGTCCTCTTATCACACCCTGCAGTATCAGAAGCTGTTTCTTTTGCGGTTCCGGATGAGATCTATGGTCAAGAGGTTCATGCAGCGGTTGCACTCAAGCATGAACAAAAGGTTACTGAGGAAGATCTCAAATCGTTTTGCGAGGATAAATTAGCCAAGTTCAAGATACCGAAAAAATTTTATTTTGTCGTCACAATGCCAAAGACAGCTACTGGAAAAATTCAAAGAAAGAATATCAGCGAGTCTCTGTTTAAAGCCAAATTGTAAAGCCTTTAAAAATTGTATTTACGAGCTGTACGCTTTCTTTTGTAACAATATTATACATGCGGTATGAGATTGATTTTTTTAGCCGCCGTATGATCGATCACTTAATTCACAATAATGAAAATTAATTTAATTATCCACATACTATATAAACAAGATGATAAATTCTATTATTATATTTAAAACCTCAATGTCAGCTTTGTTTTGATATATTTGTTTAAATATTTTTAGGTCAATAGAGAAACAATTACCTGGAGACCTGACTTAGGATAGTTAAGATAAATTTAATAACTTGTTTATTGATGCATGTTAGAAACTTGATAGACTTGAATTTTACAACTTTACTTGCAGAAGGGTTGTATTATGAAAGAAAAATAAACACTATGATTCTTATTGTTTTTTTTTTTTTTACAATTTCACCTGATCATTCAAACCGTTACAATGTTGATACGAGTTGAAAAACAGAAAAGGTAAGAAATAACGCAACTATATTATTCAAAGAGTAGATTGGTTGGTTTGCACGAACCCAAGTTGTTAAAATAACGCACGAAGAATTCTATTGGATACATTCTATTATACACCGGAAATTAAAAATAGAAAGAACGAGATAAAAATACAATTGTCTTCGTTCCATCAATGCTACTTTTGAAAGATGACTAAAAACAAAAAGACAAATCGACAATGAATCAATCTCAAGATACACGTTCAATACGCTCTCTTTCCAACCTTACGACTTTCTCACGTTCTTCCTTCAAATCTGTTTCTAGTAACTTTATTTTCTTCTTAAGATTTTCGTTTTCCCCCTTTAATATTTTTGGCTCATTTTTTAATTCATTTTCTAGTATTTCAATTTTGTTTTCTAGATCTCTATTAGTAGTTTCTAAAGATCTGATCTTGAGTGAGAGTAAATTCTGTGCCTCCATATATGGCGTTTGGATTGAAGAAACCAAAACGTTATTGGTACTTCTCAGCTTTGACACATTCGCTTTCTCCTCTTCATTCTGCTTTTCCAACTCTACATTTTTAGCCTTTAGTTCATCAACTTTTTCTTGCAATGCCTTTTCTTTTTCCATATAATGCTTTTCCAATATCTCATTATTAGTTTCAACTTCTTGCAATGCCTTCTTATTGTTCTCGATTTGTTTTTCTAATCCCTCATTCCTGGTCCTTAGATTGTCAATTTCTTCCTGCAATTCCTTTTCTTTTTTCTTATGATTCACAATTTGCTTTTGTAATATTTCATTTCTAGTTCTTAGATCATCATCCGCTTCTTGTGACTCCTTTTCTTTTCTCATATGCTTCTCAATCTGCCTCGATAAATCGTCAATACTTTCTCGATTCTCGACTGGTGAAGGTGTCATCTCAATATTTTCAAAAGACGAAAATAGTTCTTCGTCCGCGAAATCTAGATGGGGTGGTAAATCCTGGTTAAAATGTGCAGGATAAAGTTGAGATGCCATTCTGTTGTTCCCATTTTCTAAGAATTTTATACGCGAATTCAATTCTGAATTCTCATTTTTATTCCTCTCAATTTCCTTAAGAAGATACTCTATTCTGCGTTGTTTTGCTTTAAGCCTTCGCTCCTGTATTGTTAGAAACGTGGATATTCCCTCAACCCATTCCTTCGTTGTCCAATTTTTGCTCGGCTCCGAAAATGAAACGGCTGGGTATGGCGTTTCACTACTGTTGGACTTAAAATTTTCAGAAGATAAGTAATTTTGCTCATTACTTTTGTCCCTTTGTTTTGGTGTATAGTTACTATTGATGGATCCAAAGGACGAATTTACTTCGTTATCGTCGTAAATTCCCAAATTCCAGTTTCTCTGGCGAATTAATTCCTCTGGTTCTTTGGAACCGCAGCCCTCACACTCGTAAAAAGCTTCTCCGTCCTTAGACGATACGAGTTTCCTTTCTCTTTTGCAGTCATAACAATGAACTCCGGTCAAATTGGTCTCCACATGGGATTGCATTACTTCTGTTGAAAACTTCAATAACTATCTTGATATCGACTAACACAAAGGTGTATTATGACATCATTAATTTTTGTGATTTATTTTAACCCGCAATCACGTGTATTTATTGAGACATTAAATAAACATCCACGATGTTGGTTGACTATCACATGACAGCTAACTTGTTGGTTTTTTCCGTGTTAACTGTAGTCAGGTTAAATAGTTTGTTTATTAACCAAAAGAATACATAAGTACATATTTATTCAAGTAGTATGATATATACTATAGCTAAACAAAAAAAAAACTCTTTCTATTGATACTCTTTTTTTCAAAAAAATTTTCTTGAAAAAAGTGAATCAGTTTAAATATACAAAAAAGAACATATCCTTCAAACCAAGCTATTAAGCATTTACAATATACACATATATCAAATTATCTGAAAATATTAAGGATAGAGATATACACTATTTTATTAATCTTTTTACTTCTTTTTTTTTAAAAAAATTTTAAGAGAAAGAAAAAAAACATAAAAATTAATACATAATTAAAAAATTTTTTTAAATATCAACTTCACATGGTTTATAGATCAAAGTAGATTAATACTTTTCTTAATAATACAAAAAAATTCACTTGATAAATCAAGTTGTTTCAATTACTTCAAGGTTCAAAAAAATATCAAAATTTTTTAAAAACAAAATAGTTTAAATGTATGTATATATTAAAACAATATATTTATCTTCTTTTTTTTTTTTTTAAACCTGTAATTAGGTTAGTATTATATGTTTATTAATTATCATAAAAATCGATAGAAATACATAGAACAATTGTATCATGACTAAACTAAAACTCATGCTAACTTACTCATCAATGGCTTTCAATTTTCAAGAGAGTTTTAATCTTTAAATATGATCTTGGGAACAATATTTTATTCTGTAGTCAAAACAATATGTTTTTTTTTTTTTTTTCATGACCCTCTATCAGACTAGTTATGTGTACTTTATTAAACAATTGTAAGCTGTACATTATATATGTGATGCTAAAGCTAAATCTCTAACTAACTCATTCATCAAAATCTTATATTTATCTAGGATTCTAAGTGCAACTTCGAGAGTGATTTATCACTCTGTTAATAGTTCAGATGAAAACCCTTCCAACTTCTAACATTATTGCTCGCAGGTCACTACTGCGTATCACTGTATGATGTTCTAACAAGGATCAAAACCCCAATCACTTCATCCCATATCTAATCCTATTTCTTACAATTTCTATAAGGTTCTTGTTTTCATTCTCTTTCACTTCTTCTCTTTGTCTTATACTTTTATGACCAGGATTATCTTGTGGATCTTGTCTTCCTGCTTCCTGGGCCTTTTTATATTTTGCTCTTCTATCAATTCTTTGTTTTTGTTCCCATTCAATGATCTTTTTATATCTCACGTTCCAAACTTGTTTTTGGATCTGGTTGCAAACCTTCTTTTGTACTTTTAGAATCTATTTTTTTGCCATTGATCCTAGCTTCTTTCCATAACAGTTTAGATTAGCAGCTTCTCTGATTGCATTGCTTTCTACTAATTTTACACAAAAGTTAAGAGTACTTGAATCAGTTTGCGAGGCTGATTCTATTAGTCTGGAGACCCATTTATCTAATTTGCCTTTTTCTTGTCTATTGTCAACTGCTAGTTACACCATTTTTTCGTTTGCTTCTCTCTTACATTCTTGATACAACTTATCGAATTCTTTGAGAAAAGTTTTCAATCCTTTTTGTCATACTGCCAGGATCTTAATCTTATAATCAGGACATTCTAATAAGTGTTTTATTGTTTCTTGATGCTGATTACATGCTATACATCTTGTTCACTGATATAGTTCTGGTTTTCTTATTACTAGCTTGCTTAAAGTAGGTAGTTCATCATTGGTCAATTTAATCAGGAAACTTCTTCTCTGTGAGCTTTTGAAGGAGGTATCCCATGTATTTCCATCTTTTATCCTATCC